AATTATGTATTCATTTCAAATTATGTATCTGTTTGCTAATATCAATAAACGGCTGGGATCACGTAGTGGGGAGACGGCGCTAAACCAATTAACCAAATGGTAAAGACGTGGTGTCCGTCTTCCCCGTTCCTAAATCCTAAATCCTAAATCCTACTGAGCCGACGTTGTTCTCGCTCTGTATTCTGACTATCATTTTGAAATAAAGATCACTTATTGCTGCTTGCTGTCTCTGTCTTTTTTCCAAATTCCATCACTTTCTGACCACTCCTTCTTGGTGTTGCATTTTCAATGTCGAGCAGTGTATTTTGAGGTTTTGTGTACTTTTGCCGTGACGCGAAGTGAGAACTGAATTAATTGATAGAGAAATATATCTCTGATGAGTTTCGAGGAAGTAAGTTTTAAAAAAATGCAAAAAAAAGGGTTTAATTTAATATTCCGCACAAGGAAATAATGTGCTGTTCTCATCAGATTTTTTCTTATATGGAAAGAAAGAACTTGAAACTGAGATATTTTTGAGTTACAACCAAATTCCATAAAGCAATTAATGCTTACGCGTGAAACGTAACCCAGGAATATGTTTAGAGATTCTGTTCGTACATCCATATGCAACACAAGATCTCATACTTAGAAATTTTTTTAAAACGAAGTTGCAATGAAAAGTCTCCTGGCACGAGTCACAGTGTTTGAACAATACTTTCTGCCAAAGATTCCCTTTTTGAGTTGAACCTTCCCTCCTTCTATTAGAACCTCTTTGGATTTGACCCGTGTTTCTTGTGCTGCTTTTCGTTTGCTGCATTTCTTTATTTTCCCCTCAGATTTGATTTACTTTTAGTGTTTTATTCGGCCAGTCAGCTATGTGATTGCTCTTACTATTTCTTTATCGTGATTAGGAATTATTAATTTTGAGAAATAGGTACCTTTTCCTTATCATATTTTGCTGCCACCAACGATGACAGCTAATATAGAGAAGTGTTGTTAGTGTGGTTCCACGTACTTGAAATTGGGATTTGCTCTTTCGCCATCGAACTTGCAACTCTCCATGTGTGTAATTTGTAACAAAGTTTTATTCAAATGAGGCAATGAAACCATCTATTTTGAGGAAACATTTGCAAAAAATTCATTCTGACAAACAAAATAAAGGATTATCATTTTTACGAAAATCAGGGACAAGTTTCTGAAGGTACCGTTTGTCTCATGTTTACTAGCGGCCTCATAAAAATGCGACGATAGTTTGATAGCTTCTTATAATATATCAAAATTAATCGCTAAATCAGGGAAAGCTCATACTTTCAGCGAAGAGTTGATACTGACGGCTGTCAAGGAAATTTTAGAAACAGTTTTACACCAACCAGCCCCATCGAGTATTAGAAAAATGTACCATTAAGCAGTGATAGTGCCCTGATGAGGCTTTTTATGAAGAAAAAAACCTTTTTCAAGAATTCAAACATTTTACTTTTTGCAAAAAAAGGTTGATTGCAGATGCTAAAGGTGAATTTATTTTTAATTTTGTCGAAGATTAATTTAAAGAGAAAACTATTTCTCTTGCGAACACTGTACCTGTTACCAACGGTAGAGTTCCTGCAACGATGGGTCGTCATGGTGGGTTCATCGCCCTTTTGTAAAACGAAGTACCATGTATTTCAGCTGTTCACTCCGTGATTCAGAGATAGCATTTATTTGCAAAAAACCTCAGCGACAGCATTAAAATACGTCATGTCTGTTGTGGACAAAATTCTCAGTAATGCTCTCTTATTCGGTCATCTGTGTAATAACAACGATGAAGAATTCAATCTCTTTTTCCACACATAGAGTAGTTCCACACATATCCTAGAGTACTCATCTTGTCAGAAGATGACAGTTAAAAATTCTATTCACGTAAGGATACCAATAAAGATATCCATTATAAGAAACAATAATGAATAACAAAAACGGTAATATGTTATTCTTCTATTAACAAATACTTAATTTTAACTTTCTTTCTAGGCATGCAATTTTTCGAAAATTGGCAAATGTTGTTAATCTTTACAATACATAAGAGTTCATTGTTAAAAAATCTGACGTATACGCCACATGACTTCCTAGCACGGAATACTAAATTATATGCATTTTTTGCTGCATTTTATTTAAACTTATTTCCTCGAACTTCATTAGACATATGGTTCTCATTCAATTAAATCACTTCTCGTTTTTCGGCAAAGCAATAAACATAAAATCTCAAAATAGTTTCATTAGAACTTGAAGATATACAGAAACACAAAACACCAAATAAATTTAAAAAAAATTTTTAAAAAATTTCATATTTAAAACTACAGTATCTAAGCAAAAACAAGCAATTCCGCAAGCGGGCAAGAAGGCAGATTTTTCGGTCTACCAAACTAAAAGTTTACTTTTGATCCCACTAGCAAAAAGACACTAAAGATGCAGAAACTGAATTTACTATTCTGCTAAGTTTCAAATGTAAACAAATATGGCTGCTATAGTATAGTAAAAAGAATTAGGCCGCATTTAAACAACTTTCAAATTGTTGGTAATTCTACAACTATTGCGGGCAGATTAACTAAAGGCATAAAATCTTTACCCGGAAGATAAGAACAACCTAATTCAATTATTTTTATAGCAACAAATGCACAATATACCAATATATATGAATAAAAATACTAAGCTCACTGATCCGAGTAACAGAGTAGATGTATATATATATAGTGGATATATATATATATACGTTTGGTACGACCGATTACAACCAAAAGGAAGATGCAGAAGTGCATGTTATAGCAGTATCAACGTTCTGTGGCTACTTGTTTTTGTGTTGAGGTACACCTACGTACAGACGTCATGAAAAAAAAAAAAAAAAAAAAAAAAAAAAAAAAAAAAAAAAAAAAACCTCTTCTAAATCCATTTTAAATCCTTTTCACAACGCGATTTGGGGGAAAAAGAGTCCTTTATTCTGTTCTTATGTACAGATGTCACTCAAAAACATCGTTAAATTGTATTCGATAGCGGTCAAAATGGATATTTTCGCTGAAATATAATACTCCAAAATTTTCGCGGTTACAGTACTTTCTTTACTTCCTACAAGGAAGTAAAAAATCGTCTTCTAAAGGGATTTCTCTGCAAATTCCAGACTGCAGTTTTGAAATTAAGATAAAGTCTCAATTTACACTCATGTCCGTAAATTAAGGATAATGCAAAATCAGGCAAAGGAAGAGTTAGAAGCAAAACAAATTTGACTTATTTGTAAAGTTTATTTATTAAACAAAAGGTAAAGAGCAAAAAAAGGTGCTATATGTTTGATATTATTAAAAACAATTAGCGATTTTTTCTCCCTGGAGCAAATTACAAAAAACAAAAACCAATATTACATGGTTGGTATGATTGTTAATATATTGTATGTCTTCCAGACGATGCAATACAGTCCGTACAACGCCTAGGCATGCTGAGTATCAAATTAGCGATCTGATCTTGGGGGATATTACACCACTCAAAAAGCAATGCTCTCCGAAGTTCCGGTAGGCATGTAGGAGGAGGTTGACGGGCTGCAACTCGTCGGCGAAGCATGTACCACACGTGCTCTACTGTATTCAAGTCCAGTGAGAATGCTGGCCAGTCCAAGCGGGTGATATCCTCCGATTGAAGGCATTTGCTTACGATGTTTGCACGTTGAGGACGGGCGTTGTCATCCATAAACACAAATTGTGCGCCCATGGCGCCCCGAAACAAACGTACATGTTGTTCCAGAATGACGTCCCGATAGATTTGGCTTGTCATGGTTCCAACTTGAACATGCAGGTCAGTTCTGGAACCCAGAATAAATCCACCCCAAACGAGCACTCCTGCACCACCGTAACGGTGCCGTTCAATGATGTTTTCTTGGTGGTAACGGGTACCTGGAGCTCTCCATATGAAAGTCCGGCAAGAATCGGACTGCAAGCTAAACCTGGACTCGTCGGAAAACATCACACAAGCCCACTGTTGCGGTGTCCACTATGCATGCTTTCTACTCCGGGCTAACCACAGGCGACAGTGAGTTGCAGTAAGTGGAGCGCATCTGACAGGTCTACGAGCATGTAGACCAATCTGCCCTAAGCGCCTGTACACGGTCTGCCTTGAAATTGTCGTACCAGTGGCTGAAGAAAGCTGACGAGACAAGTCTGAGACTGTGCTCCGCCTGTTTCTTTTGGCAGTAACTGCCAAATACCGGTCCTCGTTCGGCATTGTAACTCTGGGGCGACCTGTGCTGTAACGTCTACTCACATTACCATCATCTTGGAATTGTTGCCAAAGCCTGGAGATGACACTCTGGGTAATTCCAAGTTTGTCTGATACTTCCAGTTGGGTACGCCCCACATTCCAGACGGCCAATAATTCTACCACGTAAAAAATCATCCAAATGCGTCCTTTGTGTCATAACTATTCGGTTATTGCAATAAAAATATGCTTGCAATAAAATATGCTTGGTTATTGCAATAAAAATAAAAATATGCGAAATGCTTATAAAGCGCCTGCGAACAATTTTACTTCTTTGCCTGTATTCCTTATATATCACTCCCTTACACTCTCGTCATTGTGACGTACCATCGGTGTCATCTGGTTACTTCCTGAAATTTGCATATGTTTCTTGAAGATGTGTGTAGTGATTTTACAGGTGATATATTTATTTTAGAGTTCGATTTTCGCGTGACTCCGAATTATCCTTAATTTTTGGACATGAGTGTAATATACACTTATGAACATAATTTATTATTTATAAAAAAATATAAATTAATTTCCAGTTAGGTGTACATGCAAGGAATTGCTAACTGCTAGCGCTATTTTAGAATTATTGATGATACATTTTTTCATTGATTATTAAAAAAGATCAGTAATGCTTTATTTATTAACGTCTTCATACCATCACTAAATGTATATTCGCCATATTTGGCTGAAATTATGCCTCTAACTGAAGCTTATTGCAAGCACGCATTTATTTTATTAATTACATTAATTTGTGAATAACTTACAGACAGTCCTTTGTAACAAAATATGCTTCGCTCATGTCGTAGTCTAATACAGTTACCGCATTAAATGCAGCTTTGCTTTGACACTCTTCCATTTTCTGTCCAGGAATGAGAGCAATTTGGAAATATTGTTTGACACAGGATTGAACTTGAATATAATCTGCGTAATGAAACAAATATATGTTATGTTTCTAGTTTTAAACCCTTTAAAAAAAAGATATTCATTAAAATTGAAAATGATTAACATAGAAAGTAATATGAAAAGTTTTCAACAATTTTATACGTATAAAGTTATTTCAGATAGTAAACAATCATCAAAGCAGTAGGCGTATTTCCAAGACACTTATTATTTATTTCCTATAAATATCTTGATTTTGTTGTCAATATGCGGAATTAACAATTAATAATGAATACAGAATTAACAATCCGAAAATTTCTTTGACACTAGACAGTAGGGAAAAATACTTATAACAAAAACCGCGATAACAGTCTTTTTCAAAATAACATTTAATTTTATCATTAAAACATTAGAAAAAAACTTTTTCTTATAACCTGTTAAGAGGACACTTATATATGCAGAAATAAAATTTCATAATATTAAAATAATTTCTAAACATTTTAACTAATGTATAGCGTATGTATATGAAAATACACATATGCATATTTTTATGTGCTTAAGGAATGAGCATTAACTAAATATTAATATATATCTGAAAATAAAATTAAATATTTAAAACATTTTATTTAAATTTTAAAGTAAAATGCAAACGTATGTGCAAATACAGTAAGACAAAGGAAAATCACTGTCCTTTCAGTCAGTCTCCTGTATTAGAGGACAGTGATAAATGCCTGTCGAAAGAAAAAGGTAATTTTTTGTGTAAAATATTTGCTGCAACGTTTCACAATACATATTTTTCTCTGATAACATGGAGTTTTATTTCAATTCAAAGTACACATGAAGGGTATGGTTCATCTAGGGGTATTTTACGTTCTGCACAGCAACAATATTTATGCTCAAGAAAAATATAATTATAATATAAACCAGCGGTCGCCAACCCTTAGAACGTCACTACATATATAATTTTATATTTGGCGGACCACTAATATGATTCTTTTTTAAAAAGGTACAAACATTTATACAATAATAATCAGCAAACTATACAAATTTCGTTCACATTGGAAAATTGCTTGAAATCTACAAACATCTTACCTTCTCGTACAAAAAGCTTCACATTTCCATATCACTGAAAAGGAACTTCACGAAAAGCAAGTACAAACCGGCAAATGCAAAGCAATATCAATAAACTGAAAGTGTCATGCCGCTAATTTTTAATTATTGTAAACATAATAATCATCGCTTACTTAGCAATGGCGCCATCGATCAACAGTTAGACAGAACTAAAACGGGAGCTTAAAGTGATGCAATTAAAATAAACAAGAATGCAGATAGTTCTCATAAATATCCATAAGCCTGCCTAGTGACACGGAGAAAAACTGTAATTAACGACCACAATAACATATGTTTGTAAAGATAATTCCAGTTCGCGCTATTATTAATAACAGCAGCATATCCACGGATGCCAAATCTCACTTTCAAATATCGCTAGATACACCTGCAAAAGTAGCTAAAAAGTCACTAAATTCGGAAGGAATTTCTCTAAAAGTAGTAGCTAAAATTTAAAAAAAAAGGCATAACCCATATTCCATAATAGGTTTTGTTACTCGTCATTTTTTAAACTGAAGCTTCATAAAAATATAATGTCCCAATTTCTCTGCGGACCATCAAAAGGTTTCCACAGACCACCAGTGGTCCATGGAACACCGGTTGGCGACCGCTGATATAAACACGTACTCTTACCGAATAAAATTCGTTACCAGAGCCTGCCGTTCTTAACAACGCTAACTCACACGTGATATAACCAAACCGACTATGAATATTTTTAGAAATCCACCACTTGATTTTCTTTTGGTATGTTGCCAAGAATCAAGAAACGATAAATGGATAGCTAGTGTTTAATCCCTACATATTTGGCCATCCTAGGAGTTACTGCCCTCAGAGACATTTTACAAGTTTAAGTTTTCTTCGTTTTTATAACATACTATATAAAAAAACATTTTGACAAATGCGAATTTAGAATAACTCACAGAAAATCGTGATATCAGGCTTTTGAAAAACTTTTTGTATAAGCAGAAGTATATTCATTATATAAGTTCTAAATGATCGCGTATCTTTTTAAATTCGTATCTTTTCTTAGAATTCGCTTTTGAGGTTTGATATGGTCCGCTCCAAAAAATTTTAGCCTGAACTTCTAGCCTATATGTGATTTAGTCTTTTGAATAGCTAAAAAGTCATTAACTTCGTAATTCAGGTGTTTACTTTTTTTCTTTTAATTTTCGACCAGAATTTTCCGACTTTTGCATCTCGTCTTGTTCGACCTACTTCAGAAGAGGTTCAGGAGAAAATACCTTGAAATTTCTAGAATGGCGCGTTCTGCAACACTTCTTTTTTCATTACATAATTGTGCATTCTACTGTAAATCCTCCGACGTAAATTCTCCGACGACATAAATGATTAACATAGAAAGTAATGTGAAAAGTTTTCAACAATTTTACATGTATAAAGTTATTTCAGATAGTAAACAATCATCAAAGCAGTAGGCGTATTTCCAAGACACTTATTATTTCTTTCCTATAAATATCTTGATACGCTGTAAATTCTCCGACGACACAGCGGCTGGAGCACTGTTGATTCGTTTGACACAAGTCCCCGGAGAACTTTCTGCAAAACTTTTGCCTATCCGAACGAATTTCGCCTTAACACGTACGTTGGCAACTTTCATCAGCATGTCGATCCGCGATAGGTCTACCGCTAGTACTCTTTTTGGGCTGTTAAAATTTCTAGGATATTCCATTATGCAGTACCACAAATTTCAGTTTTCAGGTATGTGTCCTGATAGTAAAAATTCTGTTCTCCCTGCTATCAGCTATTATTTAGTGGACGGATTTAACTCCTTTATTTTTTATTCTAAATAGGATTACGTCCTTAGAGATAGAATGCAGTTCGTTATTTTAAAGGTAAGAAAAAATTGTATTCCCTTTGAAAGTCTAATCTGAGTATTCTGTAATATCTGAGTATCTGTAATCTGAGTATTCTGTAATGTCTGCCGCATTCGCCTTGTGATGATAAGCGGCACTTCCAAACGTTCATGCGATGCTGGTTTTATCACTGGTCAAAGTCTGCAGCGTAACCCAAGACAGCATCCAGATGACTTTACATTCCAGCCAGATATTTTCGGATGATGGTAACATTGTTTCCAGTATCAATAATCATATTGTAAAGAATTATATTTGTATGTCCCATGATGGAAAGCGCATTACTGCTCACTCATTGCAGATATCTAAAGCGCTTTAAAATGGGGCTTCTCAATATCTACTGAACTTCGCCCCACTAATTAGTTTCTCTTCTTTTTGGAAGCTGGCTTAGCTCCCGTGCCTTAGGTGCTCTGCAGTTCCCTCGTACAATATCTTCACCACCGCTATTCTGGCCCCTAAAGCTCAATTTGTTCCACTCATATTCCGCATTAAGGCATTCATTTGCCTGATTAAATCTTTTCAACGAGTAGTTACTTAAACGTATAGCTTCTGGACATCTAGGTGTCCGTCTCTACAGGTTGCTTGCTTGGCTATCTCGAATTTCATGGTGTACCCGAAAGCGCTTTTTATATGCATGACATCTGCGATTCTTAAGTCTGTAACTCGAGATTCTCGATGCGATCGGCGAAATATTGCAGGGACAGGATTTCCCTTGTTTTTGTTAAACAGATAAAAAACACGAGATGAGACAGTCACTGAGGCAAGCTTTTCGAGTGTTTCCGTGGGCCTCATTTGTCAGTGATTTAAACTGTAATAGACTTCAGTTTAAATCACTGACAACGAGGTCTTTTAAGCAGTTATTGCCAAAGCGCAACTCAAACGTGCCAGCTAGATCTTCGAAGCCTAATCTCTGGTCTTCGGACAGAAATTGAAGTATATTCGCTACGTCTCCTATCAGAGAAGCGGCGAGATGATAGGCCTTAATGTCGAGATCCCGCCCGTTTGCGTTTGCCTCTATAGAGATTTGAGTCCTGTACACTTGTCAGGAGGACTTTCCATCATATGTGGATAGCTTTAGAAAGGATCGAGATAATCTGCTGGATTCAACATCAGAATATGCTGGATCACGGAAAATCTCAATTCAGTAGATGCCCCAAGCGAGCAACTTAGATATACAGTAACCGGAAGTTGAAAAATCAATAACACTATGTAGAGTTCTTCACTTTGTAAATGCTAACTTACAGTTGAACGTGAAGAATCTTAAGAACTGATAAGCGAATAATCGCTTGAGTTCGTGAGACAAGAAACGACAAGATGGAAGGGTAAATAACCCTTTATTAGTCAAATAAGATTTAACAGAACTCCTTCTTGGAGTGTACAATAAAAGCCGACACTTGGGCCTGAACTTAAGAGGCTAAGAAGTAAACTAAAACTAATCTAAACTAAAGAGATATAGCCGAAACTATCAAGATTCTAACCGAGTTGGCCGCTTAACGCTAACTGACTGCAAAGCTATCAAGGGCCTAAAGTACGGCCGAGCGTAATAATAGCTTACGAGAGAGTAGCCTAGAAAAGGCGGACGCATACAGACAGAATACCTGGTAACTCTCATGCTAAGACCGAAGAACTTCGCGGTTAAATACGGCTCTTCCTCATTATGCATTCAGACGTGATTCTAAAACTACGTTCTGGCAAGAAGTAGTAACTTGAAGTTAAAAAATCGACAGAAAAGGAACTTAAAATTTACCTGTTAATAAAACTAACGTAATCCTTACAACTAGAAAATCGGAATTGTAGTCAAATCCAAAGAGATGATTAATTAAGCTTTACTTGTTCGTCACATTTCTCAGAGCATAAGAATATAGTAGTCCCCATAAACAGGAAAATATATTATAGCAGATTTAGTTAATCCTAAATAACTGAGGTAAAAAAAAAAATATCATTCTACATATTGTTACAGTAGCCGATCATTTATATCAAGGTGAACAAATATTCTGTTGATAAAGAAGTTAAACGGAAATTATCATCTGAAAGAATATCGCATCATAAATTAAGTTTGTTAAAATAATAACAGAAACTCCAGATGATCCTCCCTGCATGTTATTCAGTAAGCTAAACGCTGAAAAATTATCTTATGTGCACCCAAAAGAAATTATTTTCTAATATCTTACTTCCATCTCAAAACAACTTTACAAAATTATTTGTCGTTTATTTAGATCGCTTAATGTTTTTAAGGATATGGAGAACTGTCTCCTGAGTGTTAACTCGTAGTATAGTAAAGACTAACTGGAGAATGCACGATAGAAGGTTCGTATGTATTAGACAGATCGTTATAAAAGTGATACAGAACGTCTCTATACCTGGTAAACATGTTTCCAATAATGCTATCGTCCTTTTCCAAATAGCTCAATTATCATAAGAAAAAAAATCTTTAACAAAAGTCACAAAATTTTGAAGCTCTCGAGTTAAGAATATGACTGGATGTATGAAACCTAGGAATCAGAAATGAAAACAGATTAGAACTTATAATGAAAGAAATCCAGAGGGGAATAGAAGTGAATGTGAACAGAATGCAACTGTTCACGTTGCGCTCTGTTATCAAAGATGAACGGTCAATGACAGTCATCTGTGACTGCAAATCATCGCAGTACTTATGATAAAGTCATGCAAACTGTATTCATAATGGTCAATTCATTTTTTGTATTAATGAATCCCATTATTCTGTAGATATTAAAGTCACCCAAAACATCATAACATTAACGAAATAAATTGCTATATGAGTCTGAGTATATGCCTATCTCTGAGCTCCTTTTGTGTGTGCTCCCCATATGAGCTCCTTTTGTATAAAGTCCACTCATTTTGTTTTTATACTCATTTTGTCGTTGCTTCTGATCTCGTATTAAATACCAAATTCTATCTAAGTAAGATTATTTTTACGTGTTCTTCATTACTTTTTAAATGTTTTTGTGCGAATATATACGACAGCAAGTATGTCTGCGTATGCATCATATTTTAATTTTGCCATAAATTTTATGCCTTAACTTTTGTTTAAAACAGATAAACTTATGAAATTTTTTATGACGAACACACTTTAATTAATCAACCCATCTTAATATGGTATTATAATCTTGCATCAGGTTGCAAGTACTCGGAGATCGTTCACTGCAATGTAAACTTTTAAACATGTTTGCCAAGGAATTTATATTACACAACATATATTTTAAAATTTTATTTATTTACCTTTGCGAAAGTTACTTTCTTCATTGCACAGATCTTGAAAGATTCCTTCAATATTTAGAGCAAGCCGAGCACCAAGAGCTTGATTTCCACTTTCTAACTCAGCTACACTTTCAAGGCTCATTCCGTTGTATTCTATTGACTTCCTGTGTAAGCACTGGAAGGCATCTAGAAATGCTCTTTTAGAACAGAATACATTTTAAAACAGAGTTTAAAATGTTAACAAATAAAAATGATTATGAACTTTTAGTAATTAGTTATTTTTAAATGCTTATTATTGTTTTTATTGTGACTTATCTCACATTCTGACAGTAACAGCACAACAAGCCCACGAAATTCACAGTGTCAAGGAGTGCAAGTCTACGTCTGTCATTGTTAAGAGCCTTGACCACCGTATAGGTGACAGTACGACTTTGCTCAGTTTCTCTCCCTTCCCCCAACTTTTCTCACCTGTCTTCCTCTATCACGAACTCTCGAGAGGACTATCAGCACTTCGCATATTTAAAGTGCTTCCGTTTCGCACAGACAGTATACATTTACAAACATCCATGTCTTCTTCGGGATTCGAACCTGGACCTTTCGGAACGGCAGTCAGAGTCAGTAATCACTATCCCGGTTCGTAAATATCGAACGCATTTTAGTACCCATAGAAGATGAATATAGATAATCAGTACAAATGTGCTGTGCTACATTTTTTATTTTCGTGTGGTGAATCTGCAAGGTTTGCAGCTATAAAAATTAATAGTGTACCTGGGGAACACACTATTAGTGTATGGACTGCCCAGAAATGGTTTAAAAAATTTTAAGTTGGAAAAAGCAGCATCGATGATGAACGTTCAGGACGTTTTGAACTATTAGAACCAAATCAAACGATTCATTCAGAAGTTAATAGTGAACAATTTTGCCGTCTAAACTCAGAATTGATCAAAAAGCGCCCACGATTGATCAAGAAAGTGTTGTTTCATCGTGATAACGCTAAGATTGCATACAGCTCAAACAATGCTGCAAAAAATTAGTGAATTTAATTGGAAGCTTTTTGCCACATCCTGCTTAGTCTCCCAGATATTACCCCGAGTGATTTTTCACTTATTTCGTGCCGTACAAAATTTTTACTGGGGAAAAAATTAAATTCTAAATAGGATGTACACTAATGAACTTTCAAGTTTTTTTTGCATCAAAACCAGAGTTTTTCTGCAGCAATGGCATACGAAACCTGCCTGTAACATGGCGAGATATTGAAGATAATGGAGGAATATATATAATTGATTAAAATGTTAAATTGTGTTTTTTATATTATTTAAAAATTTACCAAAGAATGCGCACAAATTTATGTACTGACCCAATAATTTTCCCTTTTTAAGGCGTTCATAAAGCGAGCTTTCCTAACTTCTAAGACGTTATAATATCAGCGAAATAAATTCCTATGTAAATCTGAGTATGTGCTTGTTACGACATATGAGATTCTTTTGTGTGAAAAGCTTTTGGCTGAAAATCTCTTCTGCTAACTTTTTACTTCCTTTTAAATAGCCTTTTATATATTTTCTACACTAATCGTTTCATTGCTCCTGAGTTCGTATTAAATAAAAAATTTCATATGTATTCTTTATACGTAGGATTCTTTTAACCTGCTTTCATTACTTTTGAATGTTTGTGTGTTTTCAATGTTTGTCTAAATAGTGATGGTTTTCGTCTTACTGATTTGCTTGTGGGGTGCATGAGCTCTGACTGATGATGCGATAACAGTGAAGAGCTTCAGAAAAGGAGGATATCTAATACTGCTGATCGTTTTGAAGATTCCCGACACGTCGGAAATAGTACGAATATTATGGCGAGGGTGATGACTTGCAAGTTGCATCAGATGACGCAGACAGCCGCTCTATCAGTGGACAACAAAAGAAACACATGAGTTTCAAGTTAAAGGGAAGTAAAAATGAAGATATTTTATTAGATATTGTAATATAATATTATTATATACGCTTACTGGAGTGTAGGGTTCTTTTAAACAAATAATATTGTGATAGTTAACATCAGATTATCAACGAATATATTTCATTTTCTAGCCTTTTACTGTAACCCCGTCTTTTGGAAATTAAATTATTCGTATAAATTCTCTTTTCGAGGCGCCCAACCGGAATAAAGTGTAGCGTCGCTAAGTGCCGTACCGAAGGGTCCAGGTTCGAATCTCGGAGAAGGCATGAATGTTTGTAAATGTAGAATATCCGTCGGCCAGGGGGACACTCTAAATATGCGGTGAGCCGATAATCCTCTCGAGAGGTTGATGGTAAGTGAAGATGAATGGGAGTCCCTCGGACCCGTCTAACCGAGATCCTTTCCATCAAAATTAGGGACGGAACTTAGCTAAATCGCACTGTCACCTGTAAGGTGGTCAAGGCCAACGACAGGCGTAATCTTGCGTTTGTTGCCACGATGAGTTTTTGTGGGCATGGGCTGACTATGCGTCGGACAAGTGAGCATTAGTCAACAACATCAAATCTCTTTTCGATTTTCGAGATTTACGACAATATTAGTAAAAAAATATGATGTGTACACCACATAACATCCTTCTACGGAATATTAAATTATACGCATTTTTTCTTGCATTTCATTTACACTTACTGGACTGAATTAAATCTACTTCGCCGACAGCGCTTAAACCACAATAGAATACATGCATTCTTTAAAATTCACTCTATTTGTTTACCATAGCGACACTCTGGCGCTAGATTCATTTAACAGTATTACAATATTTCGTTCATATTATAATTCAAAATGCACAAAGTTTATATCATTTAAAGAATTATCTAATCGTTGCCACATGTTCTATTCAAATACTATAATAAAGCTAGAATGACGTATAAAAGAAATTAAGCAAACAAAACAAAAAAGAAACAGTTTTTCACAGACGATAGAGAATTTCTCATTGAATTAATTCAGTTCTCACTTCGCGAGAAGGCAAAAATACATAAAAACTTAAAATATCTATATTAAAAATTACGAAGTAAATCTCAAACGCTTATTTCCTCGAAAAAAATTCCAGAAAGAATTAAACATGATTTAATTGGCAATAATAAATGAATGCGTTATCTTTGTTGTTGCGAAGCTAAGTTTCTCTAGATTGGCAACAAATCCACTAGTCTCCTGTTTCAAATGTAAAGATCAATGGCCGCCATTAAAAATAGGCTTAGCGGCAATTAAACAACTTTAAAATTGCTGATAATTCTAAAATTATTGCACACAGATTTACTAAAGGTATAAAATCCTTAACCGCAAGATAAAAACAACATAATTCAATCATTTTTAAAGCAAAAAATGTACAATTTACAAACATATAAGAGTAAAGAAACTGAGATCACTGAACCGGGTAATAGAGTGGATATATATATAAATAGTATATTTATATACGTTTGTTGCGGCCGATTGCAACCAACATACGAGGTGCACATCTACATATTATAGCAGTCCTATATACAAAATTTCAACGTTCTGAGGCTACTCGTTTTTGAGTTATGCGAGATACGCACGTACCATTCGTGCGTACGTACATACGTTCGTACAGACGCCACGAAAATTTCTCTTCAGAATTAATTTTAAAGCAGTTTTATAATTTTTTTGAAAGAAAAAAGTATTTTATTCTGTCCTTACGTACAGATATGACGCAAAAACATCATTAAATTGCATTCGTATTTTTTAATACTTTAACGAATTTTTGATTAACAAACTCAGCCATTAAGACACAATAACACGCCGAATAAATACTAATTCAGAAGTCAAACAACAAAAATCAGCGTTAATTTACAAAATTTTCACAGGACTAGTTTCGATGGTTTTACCGAACCATCATCTTCAGCTGCAAAACCGCAAATGAACAAGATAGGAAATAATGTTTAGATAAGAAGCCTGGACAAGAATAAGCAAGTGGCGCCATCTGTTGGCGAAACCAGAATTAAAACATAATTTCTCTAAAAGCCGAAGGCAAATTTGGATTGGAATTAGGATCGTTAACTAGAACAGAAAGATTTTTATGAATGTGAAATGCCTCTAGAAAATCCAGTTCTCCAATGGAAGATGTTTTTTGAATAATTTTGGCAGCAGAAAAATTGAAAGTGTGATTTTCGGACCAACAATGTTGAGCAACAGAAGACTTCTGTGTTTCCTTTTTTCTAACATATGCCTCATGTTCTTTGACGCGAAATTTTAAGGCTCTCTTAGTTTGGCCAATGTAAATTAAACCGCACTGGCAAGGAATCCTATAAATACCCCAGGAATTCATATCCGGAATGGGGTCCTTGAGTATAGAAGTTGGAATTTTATTGATGGGAGAATAAACAACCCGAAAGTTAAATTTCTGCAAAATATGTGCAACTTTATAGCTAATTGATGGAAAGAAGGGAATGACAACAGAATTTTTATAATCTCCTAAAAATAAGAGTTGGCTTTTAGTGTGTTGAGATGAGAATTTTTTAACTGCTTGATTAATAATGTTGGGTGAAAAGCCCCTGTCAATAGCTATTGCTTTTAAATAATTTAGTTCTTCATCAAGGGCTAGTTTGGAGGAGCAAACTTGAAGAGCACGGAAAACAAAAACATAGGAATAAAATGAAGCTAACTTTTGTTTAGTCGGATGACATGATTTAAAGTGTGGTGGAAGGCAAACCGATGAAGGTTTACGGTAAACTGTAGTACTGAAGTTGGATGTGTTACGTGTGACCAGAATGTCGAGAAACGGAAGAGAATTGCAAGTCTCAAGTTCAAAAGTGAACTGAATAGCAGGATCAATAGAATTCATTGTTGAAAGAACTCTATTTAAATCATCTTTATTACCTTCAAACAGGGTAAAAGTATCGTCTACGTACGATACGTAAAAGTATCGTCTCGTACGAATTTCATTTCTCTTGCATCGAAATTGATGAGCTAATTTCTCTCACTCAACTCTGTTTGAAACAAGCAAATTTTGTTTTCCAAAATAAATATTACAAGCAAACTGAGGGATTAGCCATGGGAAGCCCCCTCAGTCCCATCCTGGCTGATATCTACATGCATTATTATGAATCAAAATTGTTTGAAACTTTAAACTTCCCAGCATGGTTCCGCTACGTAGACGATACTTTTACCCTGTTTGAAGGTAAAAAAGATGATTTAAATAAGTTCTTTCAACAATGAATTCTATTGATCCTGCTAT